GGGATATCGATTTAGCGTTTTATCGTCCACCAGCCTACAACAGCGTTTCGAGCGACTGGCAGGGTATGGGATATCGATTTAGCGTTTTATCGTCCACCAGCCTACAGCAGCGTTTCGAGCGACTGGCAGGGTATGGATATCGATTTAGCGTGCTGAGCATACAGCAGCGTTTCGAGCGAATAGGAAGTATAGGTATCGATTTGGCGTCCGCTCGAAACGCTGCTGTACGCCGGCGTGCGCTTGCGCTAAGTATGAATGCAGCTCGGTGTGTACGATTTCGCTAAGCGAAAATGAAGATGTAGTTTGTCAGGTCTCACCATTTCTAGTTAGGATGTTGGTGACCCTTATCTGATAGCTAGGGACGCTGCCATTGATGTAGGAATCGATGCCAAACAGAAGGGCAGCCATATGTCACACTGTGTAATCGGTCGGTAATATAATCTGTATAAACAAATGATTATATGCCAAAATTAGAGGAGCTAGGTCTCCATGGAGTCTTCGCTTAGGCGCTAGTTCAATATTCCCTTTATACAGGCCTTGAAACCACCTTCGTTTTTGTTATAAATGGTCAGGGAAAGTAATGCTAGTTATACTTAGGTCTGGGGGAGATAAGTAAAATGGTCCACTTGTGGTTCGTTGTTCCCTTTGAATTTAACGATCTTCATCCTCTGAATTGCAAATGTTTCTACGCACATTTGGCCGTCCATACACAAAAAAATCGAAAAGTATGAAAGAAAGTTTCCAACTTCTAGAAGCCGCTTGTGTATTCTTATGAATGCCGTAGTCCGACTAATTGTAATACCGAATTCTCCGGTACATAATGCTGGTGCCTTCGTTTTACCTCTATGTGCCATTTTTCGTGCCTTCTGCCTTGAACGGGAGATGTTTGTCAAGTCATACCTCTTTGATGGCCGTCACTTGGGAACTTGGGAGGAGTTACAAAGGTAAAAAATCTGGTAAAATAGGGAATTGTCAGTTGATAGCTTTAGAATTGTTCCCTCATTTTCAGTCTGTTTCTCTCTTTGCTTACTGTATCACGTGTCATCGGCTGTCGTTCATTTTGCGCGCGCTCATCAAGCATTTTTCATCCGATTGTTGGTTTCTGAGTCGTTCATTTCAGGAGGGCAGTATGCTTGGGAATGTGCTAGCACGAAAGCGAGGCCGCAGAAAGAAGAGGAATTCTCTGACACCTCAGATTGAACATTATGCTTCTCCGTGTAAACAAGAAGCACACCCGTCTGACGATGTGAAACCATGCCAAAATGTCCAAAACCGTCGAAATAATTCGTAAGTTGTCTTTTCGTCCGTTTTGCCGTTCCCCCCCCTGTATGGTTTGATCAACAAAAGCACCTA